GGGGTTTGGGGTTTGGGGTTTCAGTGTTGTATGGCCGGACGGGGGTCTGAGGCCTTGGGGCCTCCATGCCAAGTGAGACGTGGCGAACCAAGCCAACGATGCTTGACTCTAAACCCTAAACCCTAAGCCCCAAACCCTAAACCCTGAGCCCTAAACCCTAAACCCTCTTGGGCCATCAAGACCAGACGTGAGACACGGCCTGGTTCCGCAATGTAGACTGGGCCGGGGAACTGCTAGGTATCGCTTGGGATGTCAATGTACCACTGCGACTGAGCAGAAAAAAGTCTCGCTGCTTCATCGACCGAGAAATAGCGCAATGAAGCGACCGAATGCGCCTAGAACTCAAGAGGATTGAGTTTCAGCCGCGACAGCTTCAATCCCCAATCAAGTGAATTTTCATTCGTCTCGGATTTCAGTCCTTTCGTGGCATGCCCCGGTCATGCTCTTAGCGTCGGAGCTTCACACACTCGCCTCCGAACCCAACATCTAGAACCTAGCCCCCCCATCTCCGGCACTGCTAACCCCTATAAAACCCCTACGCGAAAACCTTAAAGCTCCGAAGCCATGAAGCCCAAAGCAAAAGATCCCAAAACCTAAACTGTAGCAACCCGTGCGATCGGCGCGCATCTGGCTGCTGACCTCCGATCCGCCCTGGCAAAGACCCCTAAATCCTAAACTTCAACCATGATGGGCCTTGAGACCCTAAACACCCGAAGTTCGAGGTACCCTGAACCCGAGAACCGAAATCCCCAAAATGTAAGATACCCCAAACCCGGACTCCGACTCGCTGCGGAGACCCTGATGTGGAAACTGGTCCGGAAGCCTTTGAGTCGGACGCAGGGGCTCAAGGCGATAGAAGTGTTTGACATCGACATGCGAGTTAAGAACATGAGGACTTCGGGTCTATGGCCCCTCAGGATTTTTATTTAGGGTTCAGGGTCCCTTAGAGTTTATGTAGGGTTTAGTTTTAAAGGGCCCCTCAGGGTGTATTCAGGGTGTAGGGTCATACGAGAACATCGACTGGCAGGACTGAAAACATGATCGCTACCTTGAGCCCCAGACCTTGAATCCTAAACCCAGACCTGAGGAAGTGCGGTATGACAAATCTGACCCCTCAAGCCCCTGAGTCAGAGGCGATGTTTGAGGTTGAACGGTTTAGGGTCCCTAAACCCTAAACCCTAAACCCTAAACCCTAAACCCTGAACCTGTGGTTTGAGAGTTTTCGAACTTGGGGGCCATCGGGGTGACTTTCGGCCCCTGAGCCCTCTGCCGCGCAGTGTCCTGCGATTGCCAACGTGTCGGAGTGACTTTCTTGCCGGCTGCTCAGCTGTGCGAGGTAATGCAGCAACCCTAAACCCTAAACTCTAAGCCCTAAGCCCTAAACCCTAAACTCTAAGCCCTAAGCCCTAAACCCTAAACCCTAAACCCTAAACTTAGGCCCTAAGCCCTAAACCCTA